CACACACAGAGACACACACAAACAGAGACACACACACACAAACACAAACACTCGTGTTAATACATGCCTGGTCTGTGACCTCATGAATGAGGTGTGTTTGTGAAAGTGACGGTCCTGACCTGAACAGCAGTCTCTGTCCCGGCTCCTTCCTGATGATGTTGAGTTTGTAGTAGTGTCTCAGCGCCCGCGACATCTTCTCATACGTCATGTTGGTCCTGTTCTGTGTGAGCAACACATCACAACACTAATGTGACTCATTTCAGCTCAGAAAACATTACAGCTGTGTACAGAGCAGAGTTATTATCCTTAACTAAAACGATAAAAAAAAAATAATAATTTACTGAAAAAAAAAAAAAAGTTAGTCGCCACGACAACATCTAATTTTCATTTAGTTTAACTTGAAGTACTAAAACAACTAAAACTTAAACTTAACATCAACTATCTAGACATTAAAAAAGATAAGAACTATATACACATTAAAAAAAATAAAACTGACAAAAACATTACAAAAAATGACTTAAAAGTTCAACTAAAATTGAAATGAAAACTAATTCAAAATATTAACAAAAGCTATAATAGCACATAAATGATACCAAAATAAAAATGATATAGATATAACTTCTATTCACTATAGTAATTCCCATGGCTATTCCACAATTTAAGATTTTATTAATATCCATGATTTTTTTTTAAATGACCAATTCCTTATTATTTCTTTTCTATTTAATTTTTTAACATGTTATTAAATTTTAATGCTTGATTAAATTTTTAATACTTAAATTCTAAATTTGCGATATTAAAGCTTACTTTAATTTTATTTTTATTTATTCTAATGATTTTATTGGTAATTTTTTAAATTTAAGTTAATTTTTAACGTTTAATTTAAGTGTAAATTATTTTTTATATTTAATTTGTAATTTAAAATTTGTAATATTAAACTTTCTTTTATTTTAACTCAATCAAATGTTATTTTATAATTTTTTTTATTTTTAATTTAATAGTTAATATATTATTTTAATATTTGATTGTTTATTTAAATTTGTAATTAAACTTCAATTATAATTTATCTGACTTTTTACATTTTAATTTACGCTAATGATTGAATTTTATTTTAATTTTTAATTTAATTTATTTATTTAATTTAATTATTTATTTAAAATTTGTAATATTACACTTTATTTTATATCATTCTAATGTTATTTTATTAAATTTTTAATATTTAATTTAAGTTAATATATTGTTTTTAATATTTAATTGTTTATTTAGATTTATAATTAAACTTTATTTTAAATATATTTTATATTTAATTTAATTTAATTAATTAATTTTTTATTCAGAAGTAAATCCAGCAGGTTTTCTTGATGTCTGGTACCTTATGGTTCCCCCACAGGCGGGCCAGGCCGTTGGGATCCATGATGCGGAAGACTTTGGTATCGCGGTCCTCCCAGCGGATGTAGTTTTCGTAGCGACTGTCCGACAGCAGCTGATAGACGTAGTCCCACAGGAGCCTGCAGTCTGACACATGACACCACAATCAGAATCACACGCCAGCCATCACTGACCAATCAGCAGAGAGGGGGCGGGGTCTCACCTGCGATGCGGCCTAGGGGCGTGGCCTGCTCCTCGGGCATGATGATGTGGTTGCGGTAGTGGCGCTCGTCCTGCAGGGGGAGCTGATGGGCCGCGAGGTTTAGCCCGTGCGAGGCGTAGTGAACGGCGTTGTGCTGTTGACCTTTGCCCTCGCGGCCGTTTTCCTGAGGCGTGCCGCGGCCGTGCCTGAAATCGCCTGGCGTGTGCCCGCGGCCCGGACTCAGCAGCGGGTGCATGATTGCGCTGGGCATGAGCTGGATGACGCGTGGTGGAGCCGCCTCCTCCTGACACGGGCTGGCGGGCCGCGGGGGGTCGCGGGGAAGCATGCAGTGCCCGTTAGCCGTTCCTGGAGACACAGACAGCGGATACACGTCCTCCAGCAGATGGTGGTTGCTGTCAGGCAGCTGTGAGGACGCCTGCTGGAGGTCCTCGGCCGAGCGCAGTGCCGCGGGCAGGTGATGAGGCGACCGTGAGCGATGGCGCAGCTCGATGGTGGGCGGCTGCAGGGAATGAGTGTCTGTGGCGCGCGACGGCCGGCGTACCGTTTCTGACAGACGCAGAGAGAGAATTAACATCACATTTAATATGAAGAACTGACTGTTCAGGGATATTACAGTCAAACTAAAACCATAAAAACATTTTAGTTACTTGAAATAAAATAAACATTAAAGGTAGGGTAGGTGATTTCGGAGAGGCTGGAAAAACCAAGCTAGCTTTGACAGCATAAGATCCCACCTTCCCTGCAAATCAGTCTCCAAAGCCACGCCTCCTCCTGAACACATGACCGCGCTCAAACAGAGCAGAGGCTAACCAGCCATAACGCTGTCAGATGACCTCACATCTCACTCACCGGTGAGAAAACATTACTGTACAGAGCGCATGATATTGCAATAATAACTAGGGATTATGGGTAAAAAATATCGATATCTCGATATTAATCGATTCTCATTTTTGCGGAACGATATTGATTCTTAAATCCCAAGAATCGATTAGTCTAGCCTGTTTTCAGTTAATGGACGGAACGTTGAAGGGCACTTCGCATCCAATAAGGGGGGAGTATGTGGCCTAATGGTTAGAGAGTCGGACTCGTAACCCAAAGGTTGTGGGTTCGAGTCTCGTACCGGCAGGGATTGTAGGTGTGGGGAGTGAATGTACAGCGCTCTCTTCCACCTTCAATACCACGACTGAGGTGTCCTTGAGCAAGGCACCGAACCCCCAACTGCTCCCCGGGCGCCGCAACATAAATGGCTGCCCACTGCTCCGGGTGTGTGTTCACGGTGTGTGTGTGTT